GTGTAATTCTAATGACCTTGAGTATTGAAGTGATATGTAACGCGGAACACGAATTGAATTTAGATAAGGTAATTGTTGTCGAAATTTAACCCAGCTTGTATGGATATGATTTGGTAGCGCTTCATCCCAATTCAACCCTGCTTGCCAAATTTCTTGTAAAATAATTTTTGCATTTATTGTTACCGGACATAATAATACAAGTGGATCGAACACTTGTGTAATATCGGACAGAATTGTACGTTTATTGATCTTATTATATTTGGTACCTTCACTTATTTGATATCTAAATTCATCGCTTGTAGGATCCCACAATAATCCCAAAGTTCGAGTGTTTTCGTATTTGCCTAAATCGACCCGGTCTATCGTAGATGTTAAAGTAAGCTCGCGAATAATTTGGAGGTTATTTGACGTCCATTTAGCTAATTCAAAACCGCCTTCAAGTAATTTAGATTTAACCTTACCAATAATATGAGAAAGCTTTGTTATTGAATCCGCCCCTGTAAGTAAATCGTCTACATAGAAGTGGTTCCCGATTACTTCTGATATTACCGGATCTGAGCATTCAATGCTCAGTTGCTTTAGGCACCGTGTTGCTAGGTAGCTCGCGGATGCCGTGCCGTACGTTACGGTTAACAGTTCGTAAGTGTCAATAGGCAATTCTTCAGAATCACGCCATAGAATACGTTGCAGCGATGTTTGCTCCGAATTCATTAAGCATGCACGATACATTTTTCTGATGTCCGCGGCTATTACGTACGTGTACTTTCGATATCTTATGAGCGCGCTGAATAAGTCGGGCTGTATTGTGGGTCCAACCATTTGGATATCATTAAACGAGTATCCCGTGGTAGTTGGGCAAGAAGCGTCAAACACCACCCGTAATCTAGTTGTTGTGCTATTCTCGTTAATAACGCCATGATGTGGTAAGTAATAACAAGGGCTCGCTATTGTTGGATTAACTATCTTACGCATGTGACCTAACTGCCGATATTCTTGCATAAATTCTTTATATTGTTTTCCGAATTCAGGGAATTTTTTGAACTTTCGCTCCATACTAAAAAATCTATTTACCGCGCATTTGAACGATTCTCCTAATTTATTGATGTCGTCTTTGAAGGGAATTTTTACTATGAACTTGCCATCAACTGCACGCTGTGTCGTTTTTTGAAAATGCTCTTCGCATAATACATTCTTTTTTGACTGAGGAGGTGGACCTTCCACTGCTTCAATCTTCCAGAAACGTTCTAATTGTTTATTTAATTCTACGATATGATCGCTATTTGTTTGATTATAAAACACGGAATAAGTTAAATGTGACGCGATAGTAGCTACCGGGCCTGAAATTATCCAGCCCAACCTGGTATTCTGCATGATCGGTCCGCTGTTTAGTTTAACCTGCCCGACACGTAATATTTGCCAAAAATAATCTGCTCCTAATAACATGTCTATCTTGCCGGGTTGATTGAAGGAGGGATCCGCCAAGCGAAGGTTACCGGGAATGTTCAAAGCATTCGCATCTACTATAAAGTTTGGTAAATTGTTTGCGATGCCATCAATTATTAGACAATCAATCACACTAAAAACAATTGTTTTCGTCAGTTTTCTTATCTTAATTCTTTTAGAAAGCATATCAGATGGCATGAAACTTTAAACCATACAGATAACTTCATCTTAAATAATGAAAGGAATAAAACTTCAAATCCTACCGCAAAGAGCAGGTTAAATAATGAAAGTACGGAAAATTTAAATCTTGGTACAGCTGGAAAAATGTCAAGTACTAATATGTTTGTCGCAGATAATTCTGAAACTCTAACAAAGCATTCTAACTTAGATATGGCCGCTATTCATACTTCTGTCAAAAACGATATAATACATTTTATTTTAAGTATATATAATAACGCTCTTGTTCCAAGAAATGTAACCCAATTTGTAGTCGATCAAATAGAACAAATATTTGTAATTAATTTTATCAATTATATAGAAAATGTGATAAGAGAAACTTCACAAAGTGCTGATGTAACCACGGTCTATGATCGTTTGGTAAAATTATTTGATATATATATAAAAGTTGTTTGAAAAATTTGAATAACGAATACAAGCGATTTAAACATTTCGAAAATTCCGAAAAGTATATACCGCCAAATGATTACATATTAGGTCAAAAAGACGTAATAGTACAAAATACTGAAGGTGTCACTTTAGATATTATACCAGCTATAGGAAAAATGATTCCACTTAGACACACTTTAAAGCAAGTGTTAGAAATTCCTAACATGCTATCATCAATGAAGTCATATTATCATTCTTTATTGGCATCGTCACTTTACATACATTTTATTCAAGGAAAATTATGGAGAGAAAAAATTATGCATTACTCCGATAAAACTGTTTTTCCTATATTTTTATTTTTTGATGATTTTGAGATAGGCAATGCTCTCGGATCCCATGCGAGTGTAAACAAATTGGGCGCTGTTTATGTAACAATTCCAAGAATACCGCCACATTTATATTCACTTATCAGTAATATCTACTTATTTGCTTTATTCTACAATCGAGATCACAAAAAATTTGGAAACGAAGCGACATTTCGTCCACTTATCCACGAATTGAAACATCTTGAATAATCTGGCATATCTATTCATTTCGAAAATTGCGTTGAGACTGTTTACTTCAAACTTGGACTTATTATAGGAGATAATCTAGGACTTCATACTATATTGGGACTCACAGAGAGTTTTTCAGCTCAATTTTGTTGTAGATTTTGTAAAATGAATAAAAGTCAACGACAGTTAGCTTTGATACAAAATGATAATTTACTTAGAAATTTTGATAATTACTCATATGACTTAAGTCTTAATAATTTAGCTTTTACCGGTATCAAAGAACGATGTGTTTGGCACTTTATAGAGGATTTTCACATCACAACTAATTTTTGTGTGGATATAATGCATGACATTTTACTTATGTAGGGTTGAACAGGTTGAAGAAAAAGACAGAGTCTTGTTAATTACGTGTTTACTCTTTAACGGCGCGTTACAATCTAATCTACATTATTTCTACAAGTAAACCGCTGTTCTTCTATGCTACGTCAGCTTTGTCGCTGAACCGCCGGCAGGACCGTAACGGTACGGTTCCTAACACCTCCCCCCCCGAAAGTATTCCGTAAGAAAAAGAGATAATAAAACTCACAAACTATCAAATTAAAAACAAAATTAAAGAGAGGAATATAAAACTACGTTTATACGGTTTAACTCTATGTGAACATGGTTCTCAAATTTAGAGGCCTTGAGCGAGGGGCTGTCTCAGGTTGATTAACAGATTGTCGTTTTTTACATTTTAAGTTCATCGCTTCGAACAATATTCTGATTTGTTTACGAAATATTATTATGATAAATATTACAATGACAACAGCGATCGATAATGAGTAGTTAATTAAACTTACTGATTGATTTTGAATAGCGTCTAGATTTAATTTTTGTTCTTCTACTAAAGTATGGATTCTATTAAAATCCGACAAATCGATATCATTCAACTTTATTACATTTTG